GTAAGATTCCCAGCTAATCCCTAAAAAAAAGGTCATTTTGTATACACTGCTTATGTATTGCTTTATACTGCTCTGTGGCTGTTATGATGTCTACTGTAGAAAGCTATCTGCTTAGAAATGCATGAGCAATATTGTCAAAGAACGCAAGCCTCAAACTCCTAACTTCTATTGTGTCCATCTCCTGTTCTAACAGTGTGTAAGCCCTGAAATATTTAGACTCCATCATAAAAAATAGCTTAGAACAAGGACAAAACGTTGTTGAGAGACAGCCACTAAGATCCTTTATTACTAAACAAATTTGCTTTCTCCAGCTCTTACTTGAACAGAAACAGCACCATCTGTTGCTCACTGTTTTGTAGATCAAGGCAGCTTTTCATTCCACAGCAGAGGATAACAATAAATGAACCAGGCACAGTAGAAACTAAGTGGAAAGAGTGGGGAAAAATTTCATAAATGGACTAAGACTAGAAAAATGTGCCCTAATGTATAAGTATATAGAGTGGAACCACCCCTGGTTTATTTTGGGTTATTTTTTTTCCATTTGCCCAATCAATAAGGCTTTTCAAGAACCAAACTAAAAACACCATTGATTTTTGCCCTTCCAAAAATGCTAGAGAATGCAGGGACTAGCATCAGAAACTTGAAAGTCACTATGGCTAGAAAATCTGTAGTAGGTCTAGTTCCACCTCTTCCTCTCACTATCTATTACAGATTTTTACTACAGAATATTTTCTAATGATCTGTCCAGTCCAATTAGTAGTCACTAATATTTATTTGTATCACTCTAACAATATGTTTTTCAGCACTGCTTCTAGGATACTTACTCCCTGCAGAGTTAGACGACACAGTGCTGAAAATCCTGTTGACAGCTGGAATCTGTTCTACAGCAGGTCTCCTATGTTGCTACAGCTGAATGCCTGCTAACAACATTGGAAAAATTCTCTCACGTTTCCTTGGTGTAGTCTGAGCCAAAATATGAAACAGTGTCTGGGGAGAAGCAGAATTGTGGCTGGAATTTGAACAGAAAGCTGTTCAGCTGCATTTCTGGAAAAGGTGTTACATCTTGAACTGCAAGCTGAAACTTTCCTTTAGCACTACCATTACCTCCTCAAAAGTGGATATACTTGTACATAAATTAGAAGACAAATAGTATATCCTGTGGCTGGGTCCTTGTGTTTCTACCTTAACAATGAAATAAGCCATTCCAAAATGTCTTGATGACCCAGAAGTCAATACAATATCCAGGGGCCAAATCCAATAAAACACTTCAGTTCTCAAAACAGGACTTAGTTTTTGACTTAGAAGCCTTGATCCAAAGACCCTTGCTCAGAAGTCATCTAATCCTGGTGGCACGTAAGCTCACGAACTGCCTCCCTGTTTGTCCAAAAGGTCTGCCTTCTGCACATGCCTAGAACAGCCCCAGGCTGTCCCTAACCTGTTTGAATGTAGATACCCTGTGAGCCCAGATAACACACAGCACCAGCACTGAATTCAGCACAAAGCCTGGCAGCCATGGCCACTTTCATTCAAAAACACAGAGAAAGGAAGAGGCCACTTATTTAAATAAGTCTCCTATTGGTGATTCAGCTTGGTGGAGAATATTATCAGCAGCAAACTGCTTTCACAAAATATTTTAATATTGATTAAATGATTTTAGTGGAGGAAAAAATGGTTGATTTAAAAATTATAATGATTTCCCCTATGGACCCTGAACTTTCTGTGACTGCCATATCCCACAGCACTGGGGGACTTACAGAAGACTTTGAGATGGATGCATCTTCCGGCCACACTGGCTGACCTCAGCTCTTGAGGTTTACACATTTTGTGGATTTTTCTGAATCCCCTATGCCCCACATTTCCCTCCTCTTAACTTTCCAGCCCGTCATTTGAGTATGACCAAAAATAAGGGCAACCCAAAGTTAAGGCAAAGAGATCACAGCACATCAGACTGAAGTGCATAACATGCTTCTGCAGCACTGCCTTCATCTACAAACATATTCATCAATATTCTGGGTACAAAGTGAAGGTTTGCGTTTTTTTGGGAGGGACAAGGGTTAATCTATCAGGCAGCAACAGAATAGAAAGGAATGAAAAGGACAGTTAATATCACTTCTTTTGATATATGAATTAAAAAAACCCAACTTTTTAGGGTGGGGTTGGAGTGTTAGTGTAGCCATAATGGTCCAAGGAGTACGTGAGAAGCAAAGTTTTTTAGTGATACCTTTTACTGGACCAACTGTATAGTTGGAAAAGATATTAGACAAGCTGTCAGGCACAATGTGCCCTTTTTCAGGTCATGCTGTGCCTGAATGTTTGTCTAATGTCTCTCCCAACTATACAGTTGGTCTAATAAAAGATACTATGAAAAGAAACCCTTGCTTCTCACAAACATTTTACAGGCTACTGTTAAACTTTTGGTATGCAAAATATTAATGCGTTTCATGAAGGATTTTTTGTTCCAGGTACATAAACACAGCCAGAGTCATTTTTGCTTTTGCAAAAAAAACCAAAAAACAAAACAAAAAACAAAACCCTCTTTTTCTCGCAAGATTTCCCAACATACACTGCGGTACCTGGCTTTTGCCTGATCTGTGCCTTGAACGTACTATTGAATATGCTTCTCCGTTTATATGCTGACAAACCGGTCCAAGTAACACTATAAACCTAAACTATAGGAAATTACAGAGTAAGTAGGAATTTTAAAGGCTCCACCAGCAGATTCCTTTCAGCTGCTGCCTATAAATAGCATGTCATTCTGGAATAGCGTCTAACCAGAAAGCTGCAAGATATAAGAGTAACATTAATAGTCTAACTTGAACTCATTTCAGTCTGGACATATCATCAGCTAAGTACAGACAGCCAAAAACCCTGAGGCTGAATTGATTCAATCTTTGCAGGTTAGTCTAAATTGCGTAGATTGAACCAATAAGCAGAGATTCACTTTTGATTCCAGAAATGCATCCACGTCTTCAGTGGCCCAAGCCAGAAACCGGAGGGTGCTAGAGTACACCTTCCTGCTCGGCTAGGGCAGACAGTCTGGGCCAAGGCTAGCCCACCCACTCTGCAACATGGGATTTGCAGGGGAGGTGCAAGCCATCCTAGGATGCTGGGGGACTGTGAGTTAACCTGAATCTAGAGGGAATCTGGGACAGAAATTCAATAAAACGATTTAAACTAAATCAGTTAAGTCTGATACTACATCCATCCAGGTCTATCTTAAACTGGCTTCAGCCATTCTGAAAGTGGTTTATGTGCATTGAATTTCTGTTCTGTTACAGATCTGAACCAGTTTCTGATCACTTATACCAGTTTACATGTCCCTTCAGCATGTGCAGTTTAGCATCCAGTTCAGCATGTGCAGGATGCTGGAGTCCCCATTCACACCTTACCCTGACTGCCACGACGGGATAGGGCAGACTGTGAGGACTAATGCAAGTCAGGGTTTTCTGAGGGCAGATTGTGGGGCTTGAGGCTGGACTGTTTTCTTTGTCATTGTTATCCGCTTCTCCTTGGATATTTGTGTGTGGTGTTGCAGTCTTTTGCATGTGACAAGTATATAAGTGGAATTTAAGAGTTAGGTTGCCACACCCAGAGATTTATTTTATTTGCCCCAGAAAGTTCTCTATAGCCCTACTGAATCTGGTCAAGATCCTTCTTTCCTTCCGTCCTCTGCTTCGTAGACTAAGGACAACAGGGATCAGCTATGCATTTTCCCTCACTGTCTGTTATTCTCCGTCTTGTACTTTGGTGTGCAGTATCTTTAGATGTCTGCTGCACTAGTCTGCTATCATTTAGTCACTCTCCGCACTGCCTGCTTCTGGCTCTGATACCCTCAATCATACAGAAGAGCATGTCTTTAGCAGCTAGTCACGCCTCATCTGAAAGATGCATCCAAACAGCGGGATTTTGTTCTTCCTTCTTCCATCAGATACACCGCCAACAGGCTGGGCCAGGTGGGCTCCGTGCCATCGCATGTAGCCACTAGGACTCAGCTGGAGCCATGTGCCATCAGGGGCTCTGCCTGCTGCAGCCATGAGCACCCAAAGGGGTGTGAGGGGATTTGTTCCTTGACCCTGTATATAACCTCTACACAGGTAGCTAACCTTTTAAAGTCAGGTCTTGGCACTTGACTGGCTGAAAGGCCTTTTCTCCCTATTACAGCCAGGGTTGGAATAAGATATTGGTACCACAGGTCCAGGTCCAGCTGCTCAATTCATGCAATTATATCAAAATCTCGCCTTCCATTTTAAGAAAATAGTAAGCTTCTAAACCTCATGGTTGTGAAGAAAACATTGAAAATGTGACCAGAGTGTAACCCTCAGCACTTATTCATGTGCTCTAAAGCAGAAAAGAAAAAATAGATTTTAAATGTTTGCCGCAGCAAGTCTGTGAGTTCCTGTAACAGGGGGCCTTCTCAGGGCTGATTTCCCAGTGGCCCGCCCACCTGTTTCTGGGCTAACCATCCGCCTTCTCGCCCGTCATGCCTTGTTGGTAATTATTTAATTGAGCTTAATAAAGCAGGAGGCTGCCCATTTCTTGCCCCGATGCCAAGGAGCACTATCTGAGGCTCCAGTCCTCTCCTATACCACAGCCCAAGCCTCGCAGGTGGCATCCAGATGTTCTCACAATCATCGGCCCCACAATCCTAGTGTCGAACCCCTCTATGATCCCTCCATTCCAGTGGCCAAATCCGCCTTCATTCTCGGCAGCATAGCTCCCTGAGCTGCTCCCCCTTACAGGTGTGGTCTCCCCAGGATCGTTGGCTCACTAGCCCTGGCCCACCTCCAGGCCAGCCAGAACCCCAGGCCCTCAGCTCTTGGACGTTCCTCGCAGTGGGCCCCTGGCCCTTCTGGTCCTGGCCCCAGCATGGACTAGTCAGGGGAAGTCCAGACAGGCATGAGTCTATAACCTTACTCTCTTTCTCTGGGGGTCCACCCTCCAGACCCTACAAAAAGCGGTAACCCACCCAGTTGTGGGGGTAGGGATTAAGGCACCCCAACCCCCCTTTCACCGGAGTTAACTGGCATTTCCTGGGGGCTCCCACACCACTGACCACCTACTCCTGGCAGGGTGCAGCTTTAGGTCATGCCCAGGACCAAGGAGCCTCCTATCCATCCACTACAGCTCCTCCCTTACCGCCAGATGTTACCTGCAACCAGGCAACATTGTTGCCTCACCTCCCAGCAGCAAAATGCCTTGTTTATATGGGCAGCCCTAGATTCAAAATGGCTGCCCTCATCAGGCATCTGCCAGCTGCTGGCTTCCAGCCCTTAAAGTGGCAGGCACACTCAGTGCCCTGCCACAGTTCCCAAGCTTGTGAGTTTAAACCTGTCTCTGCACAGAAGACACTTCTGTAGCTTTGGTGTAAATATATCTACAAGGGATGTCTACCTAAGATGGCGTGGTGTAACCTGCTCCATACTCCAAATGGCATACTAGCTTGAAGACCCCAGCCCTTCTTCCTCCTAAGCAGACAGACCAAGTCAAACCAAAGCAAGTACTTTTCTTCCATGTTACAATTATTTCTTCAAGGAATGGAGTGAGATTTTTCTCCTGTTTCTAGGGAGAAAGGGGCCCTATGATACTGCCCCTGCTTGTGGTATAGCCATTCCCTGCACTGGAGGGAAAGGGGACTTCCCTGGATCCACCAGTCCATAGTCTTGAGTGTAAGCTGCAGGGAATCCTCATGTCATGTGGTCATAGGGTTGATTTCATAGAGAAGTTGGACACTAGCTCAAAAGGTCATCTAGTCCAACCCAAAGGAAATGCCTGTAGGTTCGAACTCACATGCTTTGGCTTCCCAATCTCAAAGCCATTTGACATTGTGGAGCCCATTGATTTATTTTTTTGTGTGGGCATTTGAAATAAGAGAGAGTGAGCGCTGCTGTTTGTGGGGAGAGTGTGTTTCAAGAGGAGGCTGGGCTGCTAGGTTTTCAGATACAGGCAGTCCTTGGACTTATGACACAATTGGTTCCTGAAAACCATGTCTTAAATTGAGATGTCATAACTCAGAACCAATTTTCACATAGGAACAATGTTATAAATGGGGGATCGGTTCCTGAACCCAGGCCCAAAACCCTATTTTCACCAAAAATAACACAGAATTTTGTACTCAATCAATTATAGATGAGTAATATAGCTACATTCATGTATTTATATTGTAAATAGCAATCATATTGATTTGGAAGGACTTCTTTGAGGTGACTTTGCTGGACTTTTTGGAGGGCTCTTGGTTGGACTTTTTGAAGGGTTATTGGCTGGAGTCTTCTCAGGAGTCTTGGCTGCACGTTTTTCTGGAGTCTTTTCTGCTTTTTTAAAGAAAGTGTTCAAGGAAGTTTGGACAGATGTTCTCCAGGGAGATGGGTAATGCAGCATACTTGTTTGCTGGCATGGCGTGGCATCTGATCAAGCGTCATAAAATCAAAACTGATGTCAGAAAGTCGAAACAGGGTGTCAGTTTATAAATGTCTTAAGTTCTGTTCATTGTAACTCAAAACGTCTTAAGTCGAGGACTGTCTGTACTGTATAATTAACTAGGTAGCTCAAAGTATAGACTACTGTATAGATGACTACTGTACAGATGCTTTATTTCATATGGTGTATAAAACAAAATAGCCACCACTTCTGAAAGGATTACAGGATCTGGTATGGAAAGAGGTGTGATTAAGAAGTTTGTCTCACCTACACTGAAGAGGCTATTTTGTAAATCTAATAGGAAAGTGACAGAGCTCAGGAGAACTTTGTTATATGCTTTAAACCAGCAAGGGGAAAAGGTAGGCTTTTCCTCTTAAGAAGAGATTTCCCTCTAACCACACAAAAAGGAAGTCAAGTGATTCAGCAGACCACTCGAAAGCTCCATATGACATGCTAAAAACGTGTCTGAATGTCCCAAAAATTATGTCATGTGACAGGGCCTACAATTTCAGAGTGCATTTCAAAAAATAAGAGGAGAAAATCTTTCATGGAAGGGTAAGGGAATTCACATGGCAAAAGGGCATATGCTGTAGATAAGTATGGAGACTATTTTTAAATGCATATCATCTACTTGATAAGTTGTAACAGATTCTCTGGAATCATGTCAAAGGAGCATATAAATACATATGCTGCAGACCGAGTCTGAAATGCATGTAATGGCTTGCTTAGACCATAACTGCCAGCTTGCTACATCATAGCAATCTATTGTCTGGAGCCATCAAAACATAACAGCCTATTCTGGATATTCCCATATTTGGAACAGACTCAAGTTATTAAAATATTTAAAATTGTCTGCTGTTCATGCATGCTAACTCTTTAAATAATACTTTGTAATGTGCTTTTCTCTTGCCATGTTAAGGACTTTAAGGAATGATTATGAGACTATAAACTATTGTATTATCAATAATGAATTAGCTGAGTTTTCCTTTAAGTCAATTTATGCATCACAAGATACACCATTCAAGATAAGGTTAATTATGAAATGGTAAGAATGCAACACAAGCCTAATTCCCGATAAAGATATATAGAAGAGCCTTTGTGTGCTGGAATTTTAATCATTTAAAATTGATTCCTAGTGACATAGAGAAAATCATGACTGTGTCCATGAATCATGAGGCTTCTCTCCAGAGCACAGAGAAAAACAAACAGCTCATTAGAAAAGATGGCAAATCAACCCAGTGTTTGAATCAACATATGAAAGAAAAGCAACAAACCAATGCATGTAGATAGCTTTCTTCACACAAACTTACTGTAATAAAGTGAAAGCTAAATGACCAGTGAAGGTGATCATGAAAACTATGGCAAATACATATATCTTAAGTTTATTTTTAAATATAACCTTTGTGCACTTTCAAAGAGAGCCTTAGAAGTCCTTTTAAGGTTTCTTGTACTTGCCTTTTAACTCAGGAATATCAGCAATGTCAAGTTGATCTTTTTTTTTCAGTTTTGATGGAAAAGCTCTGGGAGGTCTCAGGAATGTGCAGACTTTAAAACAGCCACGCTTAGTCCTGACTGCCTCAAGAGCCAACAGCCACAGCAAGATTCACATGCCTTCCCAAGTGAACTGTGGAAAATATACTCCAATGCAAAAGAAAAAGCCATAGCACTTTTACTGTGACCAACACAGAGGGAGCATGCATGGGGTGCAATACTTATGGTAACAGGGAAGACACGACTGCATGAAGTTCAAAACATGCATGCGCTCAAAAAAAAACACATTGGTATCAACATTGTCTCCAGAGATGCAGGTGGTAAGTTAGAGAACCGCTTGTGACTCGAGCTAGGGGCTGTGTGTCACTTCTCTAAACAGGGAAGTGTTGAATCGGAAAAAAATACAAATACTTGAGGTAGCTTTAAGCTTGTTAGCTTGGATACCAGAAGTAGTCCAGTCATTATAGCCCAGAGCTTAGTAGGTTAACTGTCTGTTGCGAAGCAGGTTTAAAGCAAGCTTTGGTACTGAAGCCAAGGAGGTCATTCAAGCCTGAATTTCTAGCAAGACAGACATCAATAACTTAAAAAAACCAAACCACAACTTCTGGTATTTTTTATAGATGACAGAAAGCAGGAATATGTATATTACCCCATTTCTTCTCTTATTATAAGCCACGTTGGGCTTTTGGCCAGTCTCTTCTATTGGAAGGAAGCTTGGGGAAAAAGCAGGAGGAACTCACACTTTTGCTTACAAACAAAAACTTTGACCTGTCTGGGTTATTGAGGTACCGTGGGTCAGAAGACAAGGGGTTCGGGGTGAAAGAGACTTGGTAGTGGGGGTCTGTTACAGACCACCACACCAGCAAGATGAACTCTCAGAGGCCGTACGCTCAAGGGACATGGTTGTTATGAGTGACCTAAACTACCCTGACATGTGCTGGGAGGAGCAATCAGCTAGATCTGATCATTCACATAGGTGATGCTCCTGTATGAAGGTTAAGAAACTAACGCAGGATGTATATGGTCCCACTAGGGGAAATGCCTTACTGGACTTGGTGCTTGCTACAGGGGATGACCTGGTGGAGGATCTGCAGATACAGGGTAAGCTAGGAGAGAGTGACCACCAATTGTTAGAATTCACTGTCTGTTGAAAGGTGGGGAAGATAACCAGTAGGGCAGAAGTGCTAGACTTCAGAAAAGCTAACTTCAATGAGCTCAGGAGGTTAGTAAGTGAGGCACTGAAAGACAAGAGCCCTGCTGAGGTGGGAGCCCAGGAAGGGTGGTTGTTCCTCAAAGGAACGATCCTTCAGGCACAGAAGAGGACAATCCCATTACACATAAGGTGGGACAAAGGGGCCAAGAAACCCTCTTGGCTGAACAGGGAAATCCAATGTGACGGGCTGGCTGGCAGTGACTTGGCCCAGGGGTTTTGAAAGGGTAAAAGATGATTGGAGGACTTGGGATTCCCTTTCCTCACCAATCAGGCCCCAGAGACTCACCTTCCATGTCCCATGATTGGCCCCTTGGGTCACCTGGAGGGGGATAAAAGGGGCAACGCGGCTGATTCAGGGGAGACCAGCAAGGAACCACAAGGAAGGAGCTTCAAAGAGCTGGGCCAGCGGGACAGGAGCAGTTGCCCCAGAAGCACCTGAAGGGGTGGGACCTGTAGGCAGCAATTGGACCCTCAGCAGCGCGGTGTGCGGCCGGCAGGAGAGGCTCCCCACTGGGCTCCAGGACTGCCTATGAGAGGCTGCAGCCAGCAGGAGAGGCTCCCCAGCTCCAGCAAGGATCTGAGCAGTGACCTGAGAGGTTCCCAGCTCTGCTTCCAGCTCCTCCAGAGGCCAGGCAGCTTGAGGTGAGGCCGGGGCTCCAGGAAGGTCAAGACCCCTAGCAGCCTGGAGCAGGGCTGCCCCTGAGGGCTGTGTGGCAATGTTCCTGCCTACTATGTGGGAGATCCAAGTTTAAGTCCCAGCTGGGGTGAGTGAAGTAACAGGGAGAAGTTCTTGTTGCAGTGGAAAGGGGCCATTATGTTTTCCCTCTTTTCCCCCCCTCCAGGTACCTAGGCCCTTTATTCCTTGTTATGTGACATTTTGTGCCTTTTTATATTTCACCAACACATATTGTTTGTTCTGCTGTTTGTGTTTTAAATTTTGTTAACCCTGTCTTTTGTCAATGATTGTAAGGGTTTAACCTTTGTTGAATCCTGCCCCTCGGAGCATTGTAGTGTCCCCTATACTCCCTGGTTTATGCCTGTTATGTTCCCAGTACTGTTCTCTCATTAAAAGGTATATGGTTAAGGCCCCATTGGTGATCTGGCTGTACCCTATAGGGGCAGGAGAGTCCCTGTACCTCCCATAGCACTTGTGCACCTGCTTTGATCCCTTCAAATGGAGAGGGGGTACCTCTTGGAGTACCACCCAGGTTACACCTGGAAAACCTAGGAATACAAAAAGAGGCATACAAACTGTGGAAGCAGTGGGTAGCCATCAAGGAGAATTATACCTACTTGGTTTGCACTTGCAGGGGGTCAGTTAGAAAGGCCAAGGCAGCAATGGAACTCAGGCTGGCAACAAGAATTAAGGACAACAAAAAGTCCTTTTTCAGGTGCATAGGGAGTAAAAAGAAGGTGCGTTGTAACATAGGACCCCTACAGGACAGGCTAGGGCAATTAGTGATGGATAGGAGGGACAAAGCTGAGCTCATCAATGAGTTTTTTGCATCAGTATTCCTGAACACAGATAATGACATATCTCCAAATTGGACTATAGACAAGCACAGGTGGGACACTGGCCCACCAACGGTTAGTGCCGACCTAGTGAAGGGATACTGGAGGGGCTTGACGTATTCAAGTCAGCAGGCCCAGCTGATCTTCATCCAAGGGTGCTGAAAGAATTGGCTAGTGTCATAGCAGAGCCACTGGCCACTTGTTTGAGCATTCGTGGCTCTCAGGACCAGTCCCAGAGGACTTGAAAAGGCCTAATGTGGTCCCTATTTTCAAAAAGGGGAAGAAGGAGGATCTGGGTAACTATGGACCGGTTAGTCTCACTTCTATCCTTGGGAAAACCTTTGGAAAAATTATTAAGGATTATATTTGTGGGAGTCCAGCAGGAAAAAATAATGCTGAAGGGCAACCAGCATGGATTCATAGCAGGTAGATCCTTCCTGACACACCTTGTTTCTTTTTATGACCAGGTCACAAACTGCTTAGATGCAGGATTCGAGGTGGATGTCATATGCCTGGATTT